TATATATATATATATATATATTGGTACATGTATGCATGCCATAGACTCCACATCTACTCTTTATATACCATTCACAACACATCAATGTCTATGATTCAACTCTCAAACATGCCCATAAACAGATGGTCTTTGTTAGACCGCCTGAAGAGGGCAGTGAAAAAGATAAGTTTCCTCTTGAGCTTCGATATCAACAGATGGAAACTTTCTTCCATGATCGGAGCTTCATCAGGAAGGAGCCGCCGGCTGAGCTTCAACGACCGGCCGGGCTTGAGGGCCTGCACAAAAGACACAGAGTCATCTGATTCAGGCTCCTCACATGGACTTCAGAGGACACTAAGCTTCCCTTCTTCTGAGGATGATATTGATAAGAGGGCTGAAATGTTTATAACCAACTTTAAACGACAGCTTCAGATTGAAAGACAAATCTCTTTGAAGCTACGGTACTGCAGGGGTGATAGCTTTGAATCTGCTTCTCCGTTATGATATTTTGGCTCAGTTATTTGATCGGAAGATCAGAGATTTTGAGATTATTTTAACAGTAATGTTACACTAATTAAATTTTGGGATCAAATTTGAAAACCCAAATGACATGGTAGGTGACTTGGACTTTTTTATTTGGTGTAATGTTATTTGGGTTCCAATAAAGACTCCAAATAATATATTGACATGTTATTTGGACTCTAAATTTGATTCCAAAATTTGATCAGCATAACATTACTTGTTATTTTTAAGGAAGAAGACTTGGTTGTGATTGATCAACAGATTAATGAAAACTTCTTAGTTTTTTGAGGTTTGGTGATGGATAATTGAGTTCCATTGATGGGAATGGGTGGTATTTTGCTGTTGAGTTTTGATTTTAAAAAAATAAATAAATAAATTTTAGGTTTTATGTTTGAAATGCCTAGATGAATTCAATAGATAATATTTATAGGAAATAAGGTTAATTATACTTTGCCCTTTAAATTATGAAAATATTTTTTTTTATATTCTCGATTGTTTGTTTGAATACATTATGCCTTTGACAAGTTATCTAGTTAAACTTGTAAGACAAGTTATCTGCCTTTTTTTCTTTATTTTTTTTAATCAAAAAACGACAACAAACTTGTACTGAGATGGAATATTTGAAACAGTAATGCTAAAATTTGGTCAGTACTGTATTTGAAAAGGGAAGAGACAAGCTAAACACGGAACAAATCTAGCATTGCAAGACAATTCTATTTGATGAGCCCAAAAATTAACTAGGTTAGACCCAATAAATTAAGAGGGTCCCAAATCACCAGCACCCAAAAAGGACCCAAGTCACCAGCCCCCAAATGGGGGTCGCCCAAGCCACTAGCACCGCCCATGAGGGGCTCGCCTACCTCTCCTTCGACCTCCTCACTTTTGCCACTTCAACTCAGTCTGACCTAACTTAAGATCCAGGAAGCCCGAAGAAATAGGAACACATGGAAGATAATATCTCGAGATATGCCTCATAGAGATCTAATCATATCTTAATTGTGCTTATCAAAGGAATAGAGTGCTCTCCCTCACGTCACCATCTCACTGTCTTACCATACCTATGTAATGTAAACCTTCTCCACATGGAGGGGCATCACCTAGAGACCTCTACATCTCACACACCTCTCTACACTGAAAGTTTCTCTCTCCCAAAATATTGTAATTCTCTCGAAGTGTACTCTCTCAATATCTTTTATTCATCAATAAAGATTTAAGACCACCGTGATACCAATTTGTGCATCGTTACTATTGTATGATTTCGATGGTGATGGGAAATACTCTCATACTATTCGCCGGATAGTTTCTCCTCTTTTTCAGTCTGGTTTTTTATGTGCGTACTAGTCAACACATTATCCTATAAATTGATAGAATTTTAATACTGTATAGTTGTGGGTGGGGGGGGGGAGAGATGAGCGAGAAAGAGATGGACTTACCGGAAGGTAGGGTGAGTGGAATGGCGTGCAACCTGTGCGCCTTCTCAAACGCATAGAATCGGCCTTCAAATCATCCAAAGCTACCACAACACACACAACATTTTCAAAAATCACTCCACTAGTAATCACAATGCATTTCATAACAAATTAGCAAATAAATCTTTCGAAAGAGATTGCTAAGGTTAATTTTTTAAGAGAAGTGAATAACTGAACACAACGTACGATAGGAAACTCGAGGAATATGGCCGATGGGTTGGAGAGAAGAGGGGACAACGGACAACCTCATTGTCGAAAACCTCCAAAGAGAAGGTGCTGGTGGTGGTGCTCCACGATGGCGACGGCAAAGCGCCGCCCCCTGCTTCACCCTGATTCCGGCACCGAAGTCCACGATTCAACACGAGCGGAGAGAAGAGAAGAAGGAACGTGAGGAATACAATTAGGTAAGAAGTAGGGCACAAAGGATAAACGGGAAAAGTTTTCGCGGGAAGTCAGTCCTACGTGGATTGATTGAAAAATTAAAATAATGTAGGTGGAAAATTTTTATAGTAAGCTAAGTGATAAAAAGTAAGAGTTATATACTCAAAAATCTTAAATTTAAATCTTGTTAATTTTTTGAGTGTAGATTATGAGGAATTTCTCATTCAATATTTTAATCACAACGTAAACATTTGTCTTTGATCAGATCGATGTGAGAATTAATTAAAATACACTTAATCTAATTTGGACACTTCTAACTATTCAACGAAAAACAAAAAACTCTACAATATCATATTAATGTGTGAAGTTTATGTCACTACCGGCTTAAACACCAAAAAATCCGTAATTTCTTGAAAACTCAAAATAAAATTATTACAATAATAGATGAGAACAAAATGTAATTTACCCTAAAAGAAACTACAACTAGGATTTTGGTAAAGAATTTTTTTTTAAAAATTATTTATGAGTTTTGAAAACACAGTTTTAATCACAATCGGATCTCTCTTTAAGCAACACATTTTAATGATCAAGTAAACAAGTTTTTGAATGATTTTATAGTTAAAAACATGTAGGATCATCTATACTTGCTACCCTTCGTTTGACCGATCTCTTTCTAATTTAGGGAAGGAAATGGTCTCTTTATAACTCAGCACTTTTCCTACCGTGTCATCTTTGGCTGTTACACGAAGCATACATTCTTTTATTTTTAATGTATTTTATTTTTGTGATTTTTTTTTTTTACTTTCTTAGGTGTCGATTGTTGATGTGTCCGATTAGACTGTTTAATACATTAGTGTAAAGNCGCCTCTTTATAACTCAGCACTTTTCCTACCGTGTCATCTTTGGCTGTTACACGAAGCAGACATTCTTTTATTTTTAATGTATTTTATTTTTGTGATTTGTTTTTTACTTTCTTAGGTGTCGATTGTTGATGTGTCCGATTAGACTGTTTAATACATTAGTGTAAAGATTGTAGAAGTAAAATTAGACTTTGATCATGATTTTCCTTTAGCAATGTGATATGGCCTTCAAGCATGTCGCTCTTAATATTTTTTTTTTTGTGGTAAATCTTACCAAATAATACGGCACAATTGATTAAATGGACCTTGATAGGACCTCCAGATCTAATGGCACATAGAGTTGGCGAAAAATTAATCAGCATAGGATTGTTGTTATATTGTCTTCATACTAAAAATGCTNAGCAATGTGATATGGCCTTCAAGCATGTCGCTCTTAATATTTTTTTTTTGTGGTAAATCTTACCAAATAATACGGCACAATTGATTAAATGGACCTCCAGATCTAATGGCACATAGAGTCGGCGAAAAATTAATCAGCATAGGATTGTTGTTATATTGTCTTCATACTAAAAATGCTTAGTTTAGTACTTGCTTGTCATTAATGAAACATCCAGTCCAACTGGCCCAACCAAGACACTTTATGGGCTGGGCCAATTATTCGGCCGTGGGCCAATCCAATTACCTACTGATAGAACCCAGCCAGGGCTGAGAGATCCTTACCCAAAAGTCAGGTTAGAGTAGCCTGATCACACCTCCAAACTGTTTTTAAATAACGTGTTTAACTGACCCGATCCAGCCCATGGCCAACCTAATTTTGACTCAATTTTGAGCATCGTCTATTGCAAAGCAAAAATCGTTACCATATTCACAGTAGTTTAATTTTAGGGATTTTNCCACGGCTGAGAGATCCTTACCCAAAAGTCAGGTTAGAGTAGCCTGATCACACCTCCAAACTGTTTTTAAATAACGTATTTAACTGACCCGATCCAGCCCATGGCCAACCTAATTTTGACTCAATTTTGAGCATCATCTATTGCAAAGCAAAAATCGTTACCATATTCACAGTAGTTTAATTTTAGGGATTTTTGGAGATCGGTCCTATGTAGCAATTTTTTTGTTCAATTAGCACATGTGTGTACTTTTTGGGTCATTAAGGGCAAGTAGATGGGAAAAAAAATAAAGACCGTAAAATAAATAAAAATTTTAAAAATTCTCATTCATATCCTAAAAAATCTCATCCAGACTCCCTCTCATTTAAAATCTATATCTCTAACAGATCCTAAAATATCTCACTCAGATTNTAAAGACCGTAAAATAAATAAAAATTTTAAAAATTCTCATTCATATCCTAAAAAATCTCATCCAGTCTCCCTCTCATTTAAAATCTATATCTCTAACAGATCCTAAAATATCTCACTCAGATTCTAAAAAATTCCTCTCTCCCTCATGTCTTACGTCTTACACACACTCTCTTTCTCACATATCTCTCTTTTACGTAAAATCTAAGTCAATCTCTCTCTCATTTAAAATCTTTGTCTCTCACAGATCGTAAAATATCTCAGCCAAATTTTAAAAAATATCTCTCTACTTCACATNTTCTCACATATCTCTCTTTTACGTAAAATCTAAGTCAATCTCTCTCTCATTTAAAATCTTTGTCCCTCACAGATCGTAAAATATCTCAGCCAAATTTTAAAAAATATCTCTCTACTTCACATTTTATGTGTTACGTTCTCTCTCTCTGTCTTAGGTATCTCTCTCCCCAAGTAAATTTGTCTCTATTACAAGTAGATCTATCTCTCACATATATGTGTGTGTGTGTGTGTGTTCTTATGTGTGTGCATGTGTATGTGTGTATATATACACATATAATAATTATGACATAAACAAATGTGGACCGGCTTCCAAAAATTCCTATAAAATTTGTGTTAGTGTGATAATAACAACTAATATCATTGTGAAAATATGTTTTATTGTGATAGTAACAATCATTGTCACTGTGACAATGTGTGTCATTGTGACAATAACAACTAAACTCATTGTGAAAATATGTTTTATTGTGACAGTAATAATCACTATGGTTGTGTCATTGTGTCAATATAGTTATGTTATTATGTTATCACTGTTACTGTCGCTATGTTGTTATTGTTAATAAGATGGAAGAGAGAAGGAGAGAAAAGAGATATTTTCAATGTAACAGTCAAGTATTTTTAGCAACAGAGTATTTCTTATTAGTTTAGGGTCAAAAAAGATTTTTTTTTTTTATAAAAAA